GCAGAGTAGGACTTGGTCTAACAATAACAGGGAGCATCGCGGCCGTAGATTGTTTGAAAGGGGAACCGAGAGACGCAGTCAGAGGCTTCAAGCTTCAATGCCAAGAAAGCCTAAACTCACCCTTCTGAAATTGTTGATCCTTGTTTTCGTTCTTTTTTTTGTTGTTCAGCCCCCTCTTTTTTACCCTTCTACCGTCTTAAATTTTTCTTTTTTTTTTCTTTTTTTTTTCGTTCTTTAGTTCTTAGAATTAGTTTCTTTTTTCAAAATTCGTAAGCAAATTTCGAGTGAGGGGCAAGAAATCCGAGGAGCTTCAACCTTCAGGTTCGACCCATTTTCCTTTTTCAGTTGAATTTTTATGGTTGTCGTGATGATTCTGTTTGGTTACAAGAACTGTAAACAAATGGTCACTGCATCTCCAAGAAAGAAAATCTTGGCGGAGAGGAACGAGCCAGTTCGGGATTCATCGGTCTCATTCTCCAATTTGAAAAGTCCGTCTTTGAATCCAACATTGGAGGATCCACAGCACATGAGTCCGAAAACCCAAAAAGACATTGATTCAAAGGAGGTCTTATGTTCCAAAAACGAACCAGAGGAGGAACATATTTGTGTAAATGCCTCTGAGGAATCTGACTCCGTTAATCTTGACCCGAGTTTCAGTCCACCACTTTCTTGTCCCAAGTCGAGTCTGGTCATTGCACCCTTTGATGCCGATCCATCTGCTCCGAAAACCAGTTATCTACCTGAGGATATCTCCATCTCTAGAAGCTCTGAAGATGTTTCTTATGCAACACCAAGTCTTTATGGGAATTTGGGCCCGACTGGTGTAGTGGAACTAGAAAGTTCAGAAGCCGAGCAGAGTTAAAATGTTGGTGCTGCTGATCACATAGACAGCGAGCCAGAAAGTAATGTAAGCATGAGGGAGGCGATGGTATTCATTTCACTAGCAGAAGAAGTTAACACTCAACTTTCTGGAGTTCAGGAGCTCCAGCATGAATCTGAAATGAGTAGTGCAGGTGCTGAAGTCTAGTCTTTCAAACACAGTCCTATTAGCTCAGAAGTGGATGCTTCATCTGAAGATGTTTCTTATGCAAGGCCAAGTCTTTATGGGAATTTGGGCCCGACTGCTGTAGTGGAACTAGAAAGTTCAGAAGCCGAGCAGAGTCAAAATGTTGGTGCTACTGATCACATAGACAGCAAGCCAGAAAGTAATGTAAGCATGAGGGAGGCGATAGTATTCATTTCACTAGCAGAAGAAGTTAACACTCTACCTTCTGGAGTTCAGGAGCTCCAGCATGAATTTGAAATGAGTAGTACAGGTGCTGAACTGGAGTATTTCGAAGATCACAGTCCTATAAGCTCAGAAGTGGATGCTTCATCTGAGAATCTTCAAATTCCATCATCTGAGGATGTTATAACTCCAGAAGAAGTTGAGCTTGCAGTTGATGAGACTGAATCTCAGGTTTCCACCGTGACTTTTCTGGGAATTGCTTCGTTGGTTTACGGATCCACAGCCTTCATTTACGGAAACAAAAGGAAGAGCACAGCCTCAAATCCTGCTATCTCTGTGGTTCAACCATCGCTGACTAAGAAATTGGATGCAAGTCCTACGGTACCATTTAGCACCGAGCACACTTTCCAGGAAAGACCCTCTTCTTGGAACTGGATCGGAGAGCCATGTCCTTCTGAAATGAGCAGCATCCAAAAGAGCTCATCGTACCACACGAAAGGACTGAAGGAATCGGATAAAGCTGAAAGACAGTAGAAGAGGAAGAACCATAGGAGAGAGTCCCTGGGTTCAATTGACTCCACCCTGGGTTCACCGTCTAATGGAAGCTTTACAACATATGAGAACAACCCATAGCCTTAATGTACATGCAAACAACCCATCTAGCATGTGAGTGTAATGTACTGCTCATTCATACTGTACACTGCTAAACTGTAATTCCGATTTCCTATAGCCTTAATTAATGTACATGCAAACAACCCATCTGTGATTCAAAGCGAAGCCCAATCAAGTTGACAACTCCATGAAATCGCTCGCCCGAAGAGAGAAGGAACCGTGCGAGCTCAAAAATAACATTTGATCCCCCAAACTTTGTTCCTTAAGAAAGTCACCAGTCTCAGGATCAATCTTGTAAACTTTAAAACCAGATGTCCTTAAATATTCATGATCATTGTAGTCAGTGTTGCCCTCCTCGAGCTCGTCATCACTTTCTTCTTGCATGTTGTGTTCTTCCTCATCATCATCTTGATGATTTCCTCCTTCCAGTTCCAGTACTTGATCATCCTCATCATCCACGCTTCTGCGAATTTCAAAAACATCTCTTATTTGATGGATCACCAAGACTTCACTGTTGGTTGATTCAAACAAGAATGATTCGTATACCCCATTTAAACTGATTTTGTAGTCATTATGATACTCAAAGTCAATTCCATTCTGCTCCTCGTTATCATAGACTAAGATCAATTCCACTTCCACATCTCCAAATTTTATGGTGCGAGGTTGGATGAGCTCACTCTTAATATTACTAATAGCCAAGGAGTATAACTTACCAGTACTAGAAAACAATAATTGGTAATGATGTTCATTTTCATCTAATACCTGGAAGCTACTCCATGTTTTGTCTCCAGGTCTACACATAACCAACACCTTTAAATTATCAAATATTGCTGCCACCATACATTCTGAATCATTAATATCTGAGGTGGATAGCACAATGTGCCGAAAGAAAAAGCAGGTACTACACAGAACCCATTCTGTTTCTACAAACTTTTTGAAAGATGGAATTGTCTCCAATGGTGGAAGTTGGCGTAAGGCTCCTGAAACCGGGTTGAACAGAAACATTTTAGAATTCAGTCTTTTTTCTTGGATCATAATTAACCAACCTCTTGAAGAGCCATAAAACCGACTTCCATGAATTGGCTTAGGCAGCCTCAACTTGTGAACTTTGCTGCCGGCAAGGTTGGTAAAGGACAAGTACTTGCAATTTGGATCCTGAGGAAGAACTAACCAGGGCGCTTCTGGAGCACCGCGGATGTGTCCTCGCATACAAACTGAATTCCAAGACTTGCAGGCAAGACCTGTGCGAATTCGATCCCTTAAACTCAAGCGCTGTACAATCATCTCCATGATATCTTCGTGTACTCTCTGCCACCTGCTGCTGCTGCTGTACTCAAAACTACTGGTTTGGTTTTCGTATTGCTTTCTCTTCTTATCTGAATTTTCTCTGAGTCCAAGTAATAGTTTCTTGAGCGTGAAGCAAGGGAACCAGCTGCTTAAAGAGAGGTAGTCACCCAGATTTTGATAGGCCAAAAATAGTCTCTCACTCATCTCTCTCTGTTTGACTAACAATATTTGAAAAATCAAGCTTTGCAAAAGAGTGACTGTTGAATTTTCAATTCTAGGATGCCGATGCTAGAGCTTTTGTGCTGTCATAGGGTGCATGTGGAACAATATATAGGGGTGAGCTAACCTAATTCATGAGGGAATCCGTGTATCTCAGGGAAGGGCATTGGTTCCAATCCTAATTCATCAGGGAATCTGTCTCCTAATCTATCTCCTACCAGCAACACTTGAAATTCGTAAGTGGGCCCCACAACATGTACCACCCATCAAATTCAAATTCCTCCACCAAATTCTGAACATAAAAAGATAAAAAAATAATCCAGCCCCCGAATAGGCCTGGATGATAACAATCTCAGAATAATTTTTGGGCTTTCTTTACCGCCATCAGGCCATTCCTTCTCCGCACTCTTTTAAATGCGGCCTGATGACCTTTATAAATCTACAATGGAATGGAATCATGTAAAATAATTTTTATTTATTTATAAATCATGCGTAGAAAAATGTACCAATAATTTACATATATAAAAAAAAAAAAGGCAGAAAATAATAAAATACTCAAAAAATACCCTTAATTAACAAATACTAAGAAATAAACATATTTATTTATTAAGGGTAATATGGTAAATTAAATATATTGCGACCCTAGATCCTCGATCCAAACCCAAAGTTAAATTTGTGTTATATGCGGTGTAAAGCATAATGGAAAAGCCACATTTCCAACATCTACCAAAGAACCCATCTCCTCTCTTTAGTTGGGGGTGGAAGAAGTGGTAGGTAAGTTATGCAGCAGATTAATAATTTAATTAGTTCAATTAGTAATCATTTGCAGTTGGATTAACGCCACAGTAAGCTTAAAAATCTGGATTTTCCTCTTTTCTTTTTGGCGTTTCTGTAATACCAAGCCTAAAGGTAATGATTAACAAATGTTCTCCTTGTCAAAGATAATTGGTCCATATGTCTTCATTTTGTAACCTTGGCAGCAAGGTAGAATCACATTAGAGCCATGTTCATAATTAACACCGTAACATTTTTACTTAATTACTTTTATTTAATGAGTCGGGGAGATTCGAATTTGGAACCTCTTCAAAATGTATATACAAAGTTTATAACTATGTTCTATGAGTTCCATTATTAATTCAATATGCGCAGTTGATGACTTGAGGCTTTGCTAGTAGTTAAAAAACATGAGTAAAAAGGAAATCCAACTCATGCACAACTCTACAAAAAGAGGGAAAGAATATCCTTAAAGACCTCATGGAGTGTAAAAGGGATGCTTGAATAACTAAGTCATCCTAGCTACAAAAGAAGAAAAAAAAAAAAACAAAAAATTCTTGTCAGTTTCTCTGTTTCTTCAACTTTCTGCTAACATGACTGAAAAATATATAGCTCTTATTTAGTAAGCCTAATAAGTATCCTCAGCTCATTAGAAAGCCTAATCACCAAGTTATCTAAGCTTCTTGGTCAACTATTTCTGCCAAATGAAAAAAAAATTATGATGTGTTAACAGTTTAATCACATCCTAAGGGGGACCATAAAAAACCCATAAAAACTATATTTCATAAGATGCTGACAACCAAACATTTCTTTGCTCCCCCCTAAAGATATTCCTGCTTAAACAAAACCTTCCTTCCTTCTATCACACATTTTCTCTCTTCTTTTTTTGGTTGAATGTTCTCTGTTCTAATTTTCCACCGCCCTCCCATGCAATACCTTTATTTAGCTCTCTTTAACATGTTGCTATCATATTCCTCCATAACACACTATTAAAAATAAAATAAAAACCAGAGTTAAACCATGAGTGATAATCACAGAATTGTCATCTTTATTGGGCTTTTTCTTACTTTGACATCGATTCGAATTACAGATGGTTCCGTTGTTTCAACAGGGGACTTCAACAAGGATTTCTTTGTGACATGGTCTCCTAGCCATGTAAATACTTCAGCTGATGGCAGGACAAGGAGTATGAAGCTCGACCAAGAATCAGGTATGATCAAAATTCAAAACTTCTTTAATTAAGTTTAATATTTCTGAATTCTGATAACTTGTTTTTCATTTTCCTAGGTGCTGGTTTTGCTTCAAATCAGATGTTTTTGTTTGGACAAATTGACATGCAAATTAAACTAGTACCAGGTGATTCAGCAGGCACAGTTGTGGCCTATTATGTAAGCAGAAACCGTTTTCTTCTTCTGCTTTCTTTTTTGGTTGCTTATTATTGAGTATTAGCAGCATATATTTGATCAACTGGAAATTAATTTAATGCAGCTGACATCTGATCAACCTAATCGTGACGAAGTAGACTTCGAGTTCCGTGGAAATGTGGCAGGCAAATGTTAAGCTCATAATTTCATACATATACATGCCCAATTTACTTACTTCTTTTGCTTAGTTCCTATAATTCTAAGTTATTTCCCTCCCTTTGTGTGTTTTGTAGGCCAATAGAGCAAGAGAGCATAATTCATGCAATTCAAGCATGTTAAGGCCTAATTTGGATGAATGGAATCTGAGTCTTGCTTACATAAGTTTTCTTCTTTAAAAAATGGACAAAAAAAAAAACACGATTCTAAGTAATTTTAATGGAGAAACTTGGTGTACTTTTGCTTGTAGGTTCATGGTGGATTGGGTTCCAATCAGAGTATACAGAAACCATGCTGACAAGGGTGTAGCATTTCCAAGGTGGCAGCCAATGAGCATAAAAACCAGCCTATGGAACGGCGACAGCTGGGCGACAAGAGGCGGCAAGGACAAAACTGATTGGTCAAAGGGCCCATTCATAGCTTCATTCAGAAACTACAAGATTGATGCCTGTGTTTGGAAAGGAAATGCAAGGTTTTGCAGGGCAGAGAGCCCTACAAACTGGTGGAACAAGAACAAGTTCAGCACCCTAACAAAAACACAGAGAAGGTTGTTCAAATGGGTTAGAAAGCACCACATGATTTATGACTATTGCCAAGATAAACAGAGGTTCCAAGGCAACCTTCCAAAGGAGTGCTCTCTGCCTAAGTAATGATAAATTAAAGAAAACAAAAAAACCATTTTATTTTATTTTACCCTTTGACCCTCTACCGCTAGCGATAGAGAGAGATGGGAAGTACAAGCAAAGACCTTCTGCAATTGGAGCACAAGAAGGCCTTAACTTCACCCATTGGTATCTCTTTCTCTACATCTGTATCTCTCTGGTTCCCTCGCTTTCTGTGCAAACTAATTAGCTCACTGTCTGTGCGTGTATTTTCTTGCAGAATCCACACTACTTGTTTGTAAAAATAACTCACAGGCTTGTCAAACAAAGAAGGCTCAACCCGAAGGGAAACCCATCGGTGTTCCTGTTATCAAAAGCCAAGGTACTCGATTTGCCCCCTTTTAAATTTGGTTTCTTTGCTCTTCTTTTTTATTTGTTGTTTTTGTTAAGAATGTGGATTCTGCAAGCAAGTACAATAGAGATGCAGGTGTAGAAAGATCATTTATGTTATCGGGTCATCCTCAAGTATTCTCAAATTTGTCACAAAAGGCTTTATCGTTTCTTCAGAGCTAGTTCGTAGGATTAAGCTATGACCATTTCAATTTAAAGGAAGTTGATTTATGTATTCGTGGTAAGAGTTAAAATCTAAAATACCACTATGGCTGTGTTCGGCATATGTAGAGGTCTTTCCTTTTTCTATTTGGTAAATTTTTTCTATGTTGGCTTTGTACAGGACCAACGAGTTGATGTTTAATCCTCCACTGGGTTTATGATTTGGGTGATGTGTGCTTAATTGCTTATACGAGGTCTTGGTTATAATCAGTTTTCGGCATAACATCTATGCAGCCTGTCTACTTTTTGAAATTTCCTATGTTTTATATTTTGTTTACAAACTTGCAGATTGGCTAAGTTGTAGTGGTTTGGTTTAGAAGGATGTGATTTAAGTCTCCTGTTATTGAATTTGTCTCATTCATTTTGATGTTGTGCTGAATTTTCATCAATTAATTTTACGAGATGAGATAATTTTTTTGTGCTGCCTACTTTTTCTTAGCCCCTGAGATATTATCTTCTTCCTCGTTTGGTTTATTGGAAAGAATTTTTATTGAGATAAAAGGAAAAAAAATCATGTTTTTCAGTAAACATAAGTACTTCTTTGTTTAGGTGTTAAACCCTCCTTCAGATGGGCTTGAAATCTGTGTTCATGTTGATCCACTACAACCTGTTCATTACCTTACCTTGTAATACTGTTGCTCATATGGTTTCCTTCTAGAACTTCTACCTTTAAAAGACCATAGAGGATTTGTGCAATTTGGGTTTAAGAATATGTCCCAAGCTTTTGTTTTTTTGTTTAAATAAAAACTTAATTGATGATCAGACAATGTCAATGTAGAAGATTGAAATAGATTACAGAGCATTGTAACATTGAAACTTGAGGCTGGACTGAGATGGATGTTTCGAACTGTTTTCCCTTACCCCTTTTTTGTTGGGTGAAACAGTAGTTTTCACTTCGTCATGTACTTGAGATTCTTCAGTTGTCTCTGCTTCTGTTTTATTCATAGTGTTGTTTTCTTAGAAATAACTTGGATAATGTTGCTCATTTTCATTGCTTGTCTGCAGTTTTGAGAAAAATAAGGGACTTCTTGGGAGTCATATAAGAAGCTAATGAAAGATTAGAAAAGGATGCAAAGGTTGGCATATTGGTCCTGCAGCCCTAGCTAGATTGTTTATCCCAATTCCAACATACTTTTCAAATCGTAATTTGTGTTTACTCGTTTACTTGTATGTAGGATAATTCAAAAAACTATGATATTGAAGCGCTCACTGGAAATGAATCTCAAGTCATTGAAATGGTCTCTCTCTCTCTCTCTCTCTCTCTCTCTGTGACATACACACATACACACATACACATGCACATACACAGAGGGGATTTATAATTTATTTTGGGTGGACCTGAATTGACAGGATTTAATGCTGGGTGTTGCTGATCTTCAAACTCCCGAGGCTGTGGCTGCTGCGGAATCTGCGATTTCTGGTTATCAGCCTGTTATACCGTTGGCCGTCAGCAGTAGTGAAGAGGAGTCACAGGATAGCAGTGACAACGATAGTAGCAGTGATGAGGATGACGATGATAGTAGCAGTGATGAGGATGACGATGATAGTAGCAATGAAGAGGATGAAAGTGATGCTGAGGATAAGAAAACATCCTCTCCTGTCAAACTCAAAACACCCAAGTCTGACAAAGATAATTCGAGTGATGTTCGTAATGGCCGGTCCAAAAAGCGGCCAAAAATTGTTGAGCTTCCTTGAAATCATGTGAGATGTAGTTCTAGTGTCTCTGAGTTTCAGGAATTATCAATTTATTGTAATAGTTGGGCAAGTCTAAAGACTTACATACTGTGCGAAGGGAATATGATGAACGGTTCTGGGAGTATCTATAAAAGGTTGTTAACTGTGGTATAATTTAATACGTAATTTCTTTTCACCCGAATTTGCAGAGTGAATTCTTAGTTATTTGCCACTAGAACAAAAGAAAAAGATTACCCAAGTGGAAGACAATTCCGAAGGTAAATATGTCTTTACGATCACTCAAAGGAAAAATATTTAGAGGTCCACTTTGTATTATGTCTCGTTAGAGGGAGACTCATTCCAAGAGGGACGTTATTATTTTCTCCCTATTTTATTTGTTTCATTGAGGACTATACATGCATTGGCAAATTGACAACAAAAATAAACATACATTGACAAAATAAAAAATAAAAAGCGTTGGAAACTAGAAGGGAATTGTTATTGGCACTCCAAAATCTGTATCAGTGCATCAAATTATAGTTGGTTCATTAGATATGTAGATTAAAGCCGCAGTAAAACCACTACAGTAGAACCAAAACATAAAAATACCCTTGGTGACCAAAAGCAAGGAGTGCACCATCACTTATTTTATCAAAGGAGGCTTTGTTTAATTATTACCTAGCTATATCACATATCACCTTATTTTTTAATTTCACCTTATTAATTAGCAGGCATCCATTCCATTAATGGCTTAATCAAATCTGGATTAAGCTTAAGCTTCCTTAATTAATAAGGACGCTGCCCAACATAGTTGCCAGGAGGGTCATAGTTGCAAGTCACAAACCACCACCCATTATTATTGGTGCACTGAACCCTAGCACACCCCAGCCTAACAGAGTTTTTCCAAATCACTTGAGTATAATGCAGGCACCGCTGCCCTCCAACACAAGAGTTTGAGGTGTAGTTATAGTTAGGCTTCTCTGCCACCCACAAGTTCACAGCAGCTGTGCCTGTAAATGAGCCACTCCCCTTGGCCAAGTTCTCACCATAAGTCCCATTTGAATGCACCAGGTTGCAATCTGCAGCTCTTGAGTTGGCATAGCTCTGAGCATAGGCCTCGACGGTGCTGTCCCACATGATGTTCGGGACGCCGACTTGCTTACGTGCCACGTTGTGTGCATTGAGGTAGCCTTGCTGGGAGTTTTGGGCATGGGAGGGATGAAGCACCAGAGACACGAGACAAAGAAGTACAATACACAAAGCCATGTTGTGTTGATTTTTCTGTGTACCAAATGATTATGTAACTTATGAGGATTGTACTGTCAATGTGACAATCTTAGGCTATTTATAGGAAGAAGTACAATTAAATAACAGATTATTTATGGACCGTTAAGGGAATATAATATGAAAAGTATTTTATCAAAAGGATACATGTCACCATTTAAAGCAACCAAAGTCATCAAAAACTTCCCCCTTGGTCTTGCGTCACAAAACTTTGCGGTCACCTTCAGCTATGTGTTATATATATAGCTATAGCAAGTGGTGCATTGGTCACTACGACTTGCATGCTGTTATTTTTCTAAAAGAAGCAACTTCATTACAAAAAATCAAAGAATGAATGTGTTACTTCCAGTTTGAATTTCGTCACTTGAAAGTACTCTGTATCGCAATATATATTGCTTTATCTTTACACATGTTAATCAGAGAATTCGTGGGGGTTTTGTAGCTTAATAACTCAATTGAGTGGTCAAATGATATCGGATTCAAGTGATCTTTTGCAGAGATGAACTTTGAATGAATATCTACAAAATAAAGATTTAGATTAGTGAAATACAATATGGAGTGGGCCCTACAAGGGTGTCCCTCAAATAACTTATTTGAGGGATCCCTCAACTTAAGCTCTCTGTATATATATATAGATTTTCTCCTATACGGACGTCCGGATGTTATTACCATGCGAACACCATGTATTTTTTACTACCCCTCCTTATTTTTCTCCATGTTTACAATGGCGTCCGCACGGTGTGAACTGTATTTGGTGAAGTTGGTTTCTAGTGCATATTCCTTGGTACAAAGCCCAAATTCAAGTCTCAATGATGTCATTGTATTTATATTTTTATTCTTTTTTCATTATAACAACAAAGATCCAACTAAACTAACAGTATATATCACACGCATACGCTTTCTCCTAAAAACGAAAAAAAAAACTTTCTTCCACTCAAAACAAAACCAAAAAAAAAAATTCATACCAAACATACTAATATTTAACTTTATCAAATGAAAACATTAAAAAATTTATGAATTTGATTTGTGATTGTTGTTATATGCTAATTGATGAAGAATTTTAGTTATAAAAAAAATTGTTTTATGACATTAAGTCATGGCAAAAAAACATTTAGTATTTTCATATTAGATTATGTGAGGACTCCAATTTAAATTTCGTAGCATTACCCATTTAAATAAGGTATGCATGTGAATAATGTAAAGGAAAATGTCACTCACAAGGATATTGGAGAGTGGCATACATACCATATCCATATGATATACTTACAATACAAGTTACAACTCAAAGTTAGGCAGCCTAGATCCAACTTAATTATTAATTGGTATACCATATCGTTTAAGATAAATTTAATGCCTTTCCTTGTTATTTTTTTTGGATGAATCCAAGGTATCCTCGAGCCGGGTCGGACCCCATTCGGTGGACAAGCTCTCCCAATGATGGCCTTTTCCTAGTTATTTTGTTAACATAACTTTTCTATTTTATTGGTTGGCACTATTTGCTGAAAGGATAACAAAAGAAAAGTATCCATTGGTTTTGCACATATAGTTTATCTTTATGCCCTTTTTTACCGTTAATTTAGTCGATCGACTTTAATGAATACAATCATGAATATAATTAATTAAATTAAAGTAAGGATCTAATATATATGAGGTGGGTTTTTCTTTTTTGGGTAGAAAATCGGGTTGATTAAGTATTGATAAATTATTATGGTTTTGAACCGAACTTCAAAGAAAATGAGTGTCTAATGGATCATTGAGTTTTTTCAATGCATGACCAATACGATTAGCAAAATATAGTCAAAAATGGCACAAATTATAATTATTATATACATTTCATCATATCATTTTGCCGTGCAATAATCTCATCAATTAGTATATTATATTCTATATTGGCGTGCAAGCAACCAAACTAAAGGGAGCATATCAGAATCCACTAGGAATTTATTAACTTTCAAATAACGGAGACTAAAAATTAATACCGGCCAATATTAAAAGGAAAATCAAGTATCTAGAGCTAGTTTTCACATGCATGTAGGTATATATACGACGTCGATGTGGCATCTGGTATATTACTTTGTATATGTACGCATATATATACACAACACAACCATGCATCTAGGCAAGGGCGGCCCTGAGGGTGTGACTTCAAAACAAGTGGTTGGTACAGAAGTTGTAACATGGGAAAACCACAGAAAACACAACTTATTTGAATAACCCGGTGACCTACCAATTGTAGAAGTAGGATCTTTGGCAAGGCCCTGAGGGTGTGATTTCAAAACCCGCTTGTGTAGATCATAGTTTTAGTTCTTTTTTGATAACAACAATTAATAATCATAACAATAAAAAAGGCAAACATGTTATTTTCTGTAAGTAATAATCATCTCTCATTGGCTCTCTTTTTTAATCATGTGATATTTTTTTTTTCAATTTCAAAGATTTCAACACAAAAAATCGACCAAAAAAATTCATAAATGTCACTCAAAAGCAAATAGTCATATTTAAATCTGAATTCAAATTCAAGTATGCATCTAAATTTCAATTTATATATACTAAATGACTTACTTCATTATCATGTTGATTGGTTATACAATGAAAGATAATTTAATTTGTAATTTGTATGCTAATTGATGATGATTTTTACTTTAAGAAAAAAAAAATATTTATTTTATGGCATTACATAATGGTGTAAGTTTGTGTTAGTTTATGTGAGGCCCCAGTTTAAGGTTCGCACAGGGCCCTCAAAATCTCAAGACCGGCCCTAAGTGCACCCGAGTTCAATTCACGTAAAAGTCAATCTTGAGGCAACCCATAATACTCCTCCATTTCCCTCCCTATCGAATGACAAAAATAAAATAAAAAAGATCAAATTGCAAAAAGTAGTATACAAATTATGGTTGAAAATTTATTACGTACATGACCAGTAAAATTTCTTTAAAGAATAGAGTCATATGCAAATGCGACCTAGCTAGCAGCAAAACCACCATAATGATAATAAGGGTCAAATTAAAATTTTGGTTTGTTTTTTTTTTTTAAACTTATTGTTTTCGTTGAAATATGAAAACTGCTATGCTATCTGTCAATCACATAATGTTGCAACCACTGTTTAAAGCAGCTTGTCCGATATTAACACCAACATTCAATATCCCAGCTACTTTCACAACCACATACTGAAATAATAAATACCCAATCACAAGGAATTAGTCAGTAATTATGTAGGAAAAAGTCATGCTCCCTATTGTTTAGTTAAAATTTAGCTAAAAACACACAAAAATTATTTTAGGAACTCTATAAAATGTGAACTCCAATCATACTCCCTAAGTTAGGAAGTCATAAATACTATAGTTATTTTTTTTAAATTCAATATATTGGTTATCATCTCTATAGAAAAAGAAATAGTTTGTATTAATTAAAAGTTTAAACTATGCATAAAACGGAACAACATTAAATTATAAGGAGCCACTAGCAGTTCTTTCTCTCTCCTCGGATTTAGGAGTTCCTAGAGGTCTCTTTATTTTAGGAGGTGAATAGGGAGTATGGTTGGAGTTGTATTTTTCCAATTCCTCCCTAAAATTTGTCTAAGGAGGTGGTTTAGGGATCCCATTGTAAATGCTTTAAGTGTGAGTAATTATAGTGTACGTTGTATGAGAGTATGTCATATGGTATAACTTGTTTGTTAGAATATATAAGTGGATATTTATTGATATTATATCATAAAAGTGGGAAATATTAACCATATTGCCCATCCATATTATAACACGTGAACGGGTTATAGCAGCCTTGCTATGCAGTAAAGCGTATGTACATGTGGGTTTTTGGCAAGTCATTAGACACAAACAAGTTTAAACACTTAAATCAATCTCAACCACATGATTTCATTGAAATAGATCCAACGACTAAGCACCTCATTCCTCAAATGATGACATTGAATCTCTCAACTTCATGCATGGCACTATATATATATATATTCTTCAGCAAGAATATTCTAATTGCCCTAATAATATCTATGTTCCTATATGCATACATTGCTTGTCACGTGCGTACGTCCCCACCATTGACTTGATGGTAGCTCTTCAATTACTCATGTAGAATTTTTTTTTTTTTTCAAGTGCCCATAGAGATATGACTTCCATATATAGGGCTCACCTTGATTAAAAATGTGGTTAGTAAAGTGGCACGATTGTTTTTATATATGCTCAGATATTCAATTTTGAAAAAATAATGCATCCAACTAACTCAACCAAAAAAATTGCATCCAATTAATGATGTTCTTGGAATATTGATACAAAATAAATTAGGTGTTAAAAAATATTTAATAATTGAATATGATCTATTACGACAAAGACTCATCGTCACAATCCTGGTGATTATTCAAAAGGTGTAACATCCCTAACCCAATTTAATTGATTTAATCCAATTTAATTCTTTTGTGAAATTTCAATTTTGCCCTTGGGAGTAGGGGTACTTTGGTCTCTTTAAGAAAAAAAAAACATTTATTGTATGGCATTATGTGATGGTGTAAGTTTGTGTTAGCTTATGTGAGACCCCATTTTAAGGTTCGCATAGTGCCTTCAAAATCTCAAGACCGGCCCTGAGTGCACTTGAGTTCGATTCACGTAAAAGACAATCTTGAGGTAACCCAATATAATACTCCCCCATTTCCCTCCCTATCGAATGACAAAAATAAAATAAAAAAGATCAAATTGCAAAAAGTAGTATAAGAATTATAGTTGAAAATTTATTACGTACAGGACCAGTAAAATTTCTTTAAAGAATAGAGTCATATGCAAATGCAACCTAGCTAGCAACAAAACCACCATAATGACAATAAGGGTCAAATTAAAATTTTGGTTTGTTTTTTTGAAACTGATTATTTTCGTTGAAAGATGAAAACTGCTTTGTTGTCTGTCAATCACATACATAATGTTGCAACCACTGTTTAAAGCAGCTTGTCCGATGTCAACACCAACATTCAATATCCCAGCTACTTTCACAACCACATACTGAAATAATAAATACCCGATCACAAGGAATTGGTCAGTAATTATGTAGGCAAAGGTCATTCTTTAGTTAAAAACACACAAAAGTTATTTTTGGAACCCTATAAAATTTGATCTCCAATCATACTCCCTAAATTAGGAAGTCATAAATACTATAGTTATTTTTTAATTTAATATGATTAGTTATCATCTCTATTAAAAAAGAAATAGTTTGTATTAATTAAAAGTTTAAACTATGCATAAAACGAAACAATATTAAATTATAAGGAGCCACTAGGAGTCCTTTTTCTTTATTTTAGGAGGTGAATAGGGAGTATGGTTGGAGTTGTATTTTTCCAATTCTTCCCTAAAATTTGTGGAATGAGGTGGTTTAGGGACCCCATTGTAGATGCTTTAAGTGTGAGTAATTATAGTGTACGTAGTATGAGAGTATGTCACATGGTATAACTTGTTTGTTAGAATATATAAGTGGATATTTATTGATATTATATCATAAAAGTGGGAAATATTAACCATATTGCCCATCCATATTATAGCACGTGAACGAGTTATAGCAGCCTTGCTACGCAGTAAAGCGTACGTACATGTGGGTATTTGGCAAGTCATTAGACACAAACAAGTTTAAACACTTAAATCAATCTCAACCACATGATTTCATTGAAATAGATCCAATGACTAAGCACCTCATTCCTCAAATGATGACATTGAATCTCTCAACTGCATGCATGGCACTATATATATATTCTTCAGCAAGAATATTCTAATTGCCCCAATAATATCTATGTTCCTATGTGTAGACATTGCTTGTCACGTGCGTACGTCCCCACCATTGACTTGACTTCAATTACTCATGTAGATTTTTTTATTTTTTTTTTAAAGTGCCCATAGAGATAAGACTTCCATATATAGGGCTCACCTCAATTAAAAATGTGGTTAGTAAAGTGGTTATTAAAAATGTGATATTCAATTTTGCAAAAATAATGCATCCAACTAACTCAATCAAAAAAATGGCATCCAATTAATGATGTTCTTGGAATATTGATACAAAATAAATTAGGTGTTAAAAAATATTTAATATCTGAATATGATCTTTTACGACAAAGACTCATCGTCACAATCATGGTGATTATTCAAAAGACGTTACATCCCTGACCCAATTTAATCGATTTAATCCAATTTAATTCTTTTGTGAAATTTCAATTTTGTCTTTGGAAGTAGGGGTACTTTGGTCACTTTAAGAAAAAAAACATTTATTGTATGGCATTATATAATGGTGTAAGTTTGTATTAGCTTATGTGAGGGTTCGCATGGCCCTCAAAATCTCAAGCTGCATCTACGCCATTGATAGAGATATTTCTCGAACACGGCCCTCCTTCATGGGGTCCTGTCTCTTCACTAGGATCTAAACTAGGCTTCGTGCCCATTTTTTTCACATTCAAAGTTCACCATCTCTTCTTCAGAATCATAATTAAATCCACCTTTCACAATTTCTATATTCTACAGTCCTTCTTCAAACGACCATAAAATAGCCCTCCCCGCCAATGCATCTCCACAACAAAACAAACACGTTCCTCCTCCTCCTAGCTTCCTTCAATTAGCCACATCCTCTATCTTTTGTCATTACAAATACATGGCTTCTAACATGAGCTTGAAGACCCTTGCTGTGCTGGCTCTTGCCCTTGCCGTCTGTGTGCAAGCCACCCTAGGTTTGTTTAATTACCAACTTTCTTATTTCATTACCAACCAATTTTCTAATGAGTTTCATTTGCATGCAGGAGCAATTTCATGCGAGGATCTAGACCAAGACACATGCGCATTCGCTGTGTCGTCGTCCAGCAAATGCTGTGTGCTTGAGAAGCATCTCCGGAGGAGCGGAGAGGAAGCATACACACACGTGCCACATATCAGAGATTGAGACAGATAAATTGAAGGACTGGGTGGAGAGTGAGCAGTGCATCAAGTCTTGTGGGCTTGACCGCAAATCCTATGGCATCTGCTCAGACTCTCTCCTGGAGTCTCACTTCAACCAAAAGCTTTGCTCCCCTAAGTGCTACGACACCTGCCCCAACATTGTTGACCTTTACTTCAATCTTGCCGCTAGTGAAGGTTTAGACTGTGAATCCAATCCAAACTACACATTTATCTTAATAGTATTTAACGTTGATTAATTACATGGTGTTTTGCTTGTAGGGGTTCTACCAAAATTGTGTGAAGCACAAGGAGCAAATGCTCGTCGACGGATGTCGGAGATCCGTAGCTCTGGATTTGTTGCACCACCCTGCAAATTTGGTAGCACCCGGAGCAATTACCTCAGCCATTTTGGTAGCATCCACACCAACAGAGGTTGCTCCAGCACAGCCTCCTTACTATAACTAAGTGCACTATCATTCCATACATGAGGTTTCATGGGGCTGAGTTTTCCAGCCTCCCAGGCTTTCGTGTTACACCAAAATATCAATGTGTATATTGTAAATTTATACTATAAGTATATTGTAAACTCAGAAATACTACGTAGATTTATTGTGTGGTACAATTAATGTAATTGCGTTCTAGAAATAGTTATCTAGCTTTGTATGCTTTAATAATGGATTATAAAATCCTATATTATATGAACCCTTTTTTTCGCTCATAAAAGTTGAACTTTGTTATAAAATAATCATCAGAGACAGAACTTTCTCCCTCTAATAAAACTCTTCTAAGATAAAGCTCTCACACTCTCAAATTTCTCTCTCTCTATTTTCTCTTTGGATCGGTGTGTTCTACAACTGAATGAGCAAGCCTATTTATAGGCAAATTGGATGGCTTCCCGTGGTCTCCAAAGTCTTCATTGCCCAACATCATCATTTGCCTTTAGAATATTTTCTTCTTTTCTTTATGTGGACTCCACCACTTTCTTTACAACAAGCTTGTTGGATTTTGCGTGATTGCTAGAGGATTTTTTTTTTCTTTTTTATTAAAAAAAAGACACTTGTGAAGCAAATTTGAACAATATACTATATATGCGTTTCGCAACATTATTGTATTGAGTTTAGTCCAACCAATCTCAACCATTGTTCTTGCACTGGTTGTTTTTATTGTTTTATTTCTACTTTCTTGTCTACAAGAACCCTCCTCTAAAGACAATGTTCTTCCTGTGTAATCTTATATCTGCTTTCATATCAATGAATCTACTTCTGTTCCGAAAAAAGAAAAAAAAAAGAAAAAGAAAAAGGAGGCTAAAGAGATTTTGGATTGGGCTTTTTCTTGGGCCAATAAAAGAATAAAAGAATAAAAGAAATCCGCGGCAAATACGACTGGCCCCAACAGGAAAACATTCAAACCAGCAAACGAACGAAACAAAATTAATAAAAATAAAATAATAAAAGCCAAACTGTAACCAGGAATTGCGCCACGTCAGCAACATATGGATGAGCAAAATAACAGATTAAATAAAGAGAGGATCAGGCAGTTGGTCATGAATTAAGATATGAGAGCTTCTCTCACTCTCACTCTCGTCACTCCCTCACAGAGCTGATAGGCCACACAGAGCTTCCTCCTCCTCTGCTCTTCTTCGTCTCTCCCGAGGAGATGAGCTTCTCCGCGAAGCCTCAAACGCTAACACTAATCTCATGCACTCCTCTATCTTCTTCTTCTTCTTCTTCCTCCTCCTCTCTCCCATCAATTCGCAGACACTTCCTCGGCTGCGGTGGCCATAGTCTCCGACCGCTCTCCGGCGGTCTTCGCTCTCTTAGAAAACGCAGAAGCCTCGCCGGCGACCATCGCTCTCCTCCCTCGAAGTTTCTCATCAAGGCCTCTCTCGACCCGCATTTGCTCCTCGTCGTCGTCGCCGTCGTTACCTTCTCTGCTGTCTCCGTCATCTACTTCAATCGGCCATTCAAGTCCAAGAAGAATGTCGATGCTAGAGTTAGAAAGCTCAGAGAGGTTAGAGACGCCAAAGAGGTCAGTAGCCAGCTACCTATCCGCGAAAATCAGATTCTTGGTTTTGATGCTTTGAACGGAAAGATTGAAGAATTAGAGACACCGGTGCTGCAATTTCACAATTCTGCGCAGGAGTCTCTTGCGCCTTTGGTGTTTGAATCAACCGCAGTGCTTCAACCACTTCGTTTTCCCACTGAGTTGACTCAGTTGCAGCAGCCAGAGCGGTCTGAAGATGTTGATTATGATCCAATTTCTGAAGAGTTCTCTAAATTAATGGGTGAACGGTCTGAAGATGGTGGTCGTGACCCAATTTCTGATGAGTTCTCTAAATTAATGAGTGATTCTAATTTTGGAGTAGCTTCGCCTTCTGTTCCTGTAGATGATGAGGAAAGCGTTGAAGTTGGCGAAAGCGATGAAGTCGGCGAAGTGGGTGAAGCTACTAGCTTTCATGTACTCAATAGAGAATCGGTGAGAGAAGAGCTTCACATGTTTTATGAGGCAAACAAGTCTGAGACGAAATCTGTAGCAAGCTTGAATGGTAAAAAGCCATCTTCTTTTTTGAGGAACATCAACGTGACAGGGGCGGATTTAATACCACAAGCTTCCCATCACACTACAGGTAATGCCATGAAAGAAAGACCATATTTTGATACTTTATGGTAATTTTGAGAAATAAATGTACTTTTGGTCTATTTTCTGAAGAAGAGTGTTTGTTCAGAGTCTATAGAAGGCCATACCCGCAGCAGAAAGGACTTGGGAAAAGGCAATGGATATTCAAGCGACAAAGAAGTAAGACATTTGCCTAAAAAGAATTCTGGGACTATGACCCAGTTTCCCCACCCAAATGGGATTCATACAAATGACAGAGATCTTCTATCAGAGCAATTAAGTGCTTACCATCGTTTGCTAAAGGATGGGAGGTACATGTTTTCTTTCACATATATGTTATAAAATACCTTTAGGGTCCATTTGGATTTAGGAGTTTAACAAAATGGATTTGGTTTTTGAAAAGGAGTTTGCACTGGTTTGAAATGACTAGATATAATTAACCAAAGTGAATCCGTGTACTTCCTCTTTTTCTTTCCCTGTAGAAACACAGTTTTATGCAATTTAACTCTAAATAGTACTAATATAAACCCCTAGATTTGAATTCTCACATACCAGTCTTTCCATTTTTCCAAATTTCTTTTCTAGAAGCTGATCATTGAATAATATGGGCTTCTTAGGCTAGGCGACTCTTTAAAATTGCTTGAAGATTTGGAAAGAAGGGGTTTGTTGGATATGAATAAGGTAAGGATCCAACCTTCTGTTAATGATTTGTTCTTGTATGTTGGGTTTCTCTATTTTACTAAGTTCTCTGGCATTAGGTTTATCATGCAAGGTTTTTTGAAATCTGCAAATCGCAAAAGGCTGTTGACAAAGCTTTCCGTTTCATCAAACTGATTCCAAATCCAACCTTGAGCACATATAATATGCTTATGACTGTCTGTGCAAGTTCTCAAGATTCAGAGGGTAAATTCATTTCTACAATTTGCCACAGCTATTAATTATTTGGTGCAAAATAAGTTCCTGATGTCTTTTTTGTGGTTTTAGAAGCTTTCCATGTTCTGCGACTTGTCCGGGAGGCTGGAATGAAGCCCGATTGCAAACTTTACACTACTCTGATATCAACATGCGGTAAAAGTGGAAAAGTTTACACGATGTTTGATGTATGATATCTTTCATTTTGGTTTCTTTTAGCTCTCAGTGGCATGCATACTTCGAGTTTTTAGCCCAATATTTCTGAAATGAAGTTTTACTGTATTACCAATTTTAGTCCCAGTAGCTGCCAGGGTTGCAAGTTCTGCTTGTTTGGCTTGCTTTATATGTAGAAAGAATTGAAGCTGATATGTCCATCCCTTTAAACAAAACTTTGACCATCAGGTTGACATTCTGTTTGTAATCCCTGAAAATTCGATATGATTAAATCTCATCTACATCTCAAATAGAATTTGAGTACCAGCCTTTTGTATTTACTGAAGCTTTAAACTTGATTTCATTGAAGCTGAGTATTGATTTCTTCATTACATTTTCCATTCATGAATCCTGTAACTAATGAGTGCCCACTGCCCAGTTGGTAAATTGCTATCTTCAATTTTAGGTATTTTTTTTTAACATAACCTCTGCATATGCGTTTTTCTCTGAGTTTCCCATAGTATTTCAACTACATTTATCTTTTTCTTCTGCAAAGGTCTTTCATGAGATGGTTAATGCTGGAGTCGAACCAAATGTTCACACATATGGGGCACTTATTGATGGTTGTGGCAGAGCTGGGGAAGTGGCCAAGGCTTTTGGTGCTTATGGGATAATGAGGTCTAAGGTACTATTAGAATGAGAAACTTTGCAATATCTATCCATAGTTACTATTACTCTATCAAGTTCTTTGTTTCTGAGGAAGGATGTTGTTTCTTGTTCCTGGATAGTGAATAAGTTTCCATGCTGATAAGATGTTACATGCAGTAGAAAGTGAAGCCAGATCGAGTTGTATTCAATGCGCTTATTACTGCATGTGGTCAATCAGGAGCAGTTGATCGTGCTTTTGATGTCTTAGGAGAGATGATGGCAGAAACACAACCTATAGAACCTGATCACACAACTGTCGGTGCACTAATAAAGGCATGTGCAAATGCTGGTCAGGTACGGTTTGCCATTTTCTTACAGTAGTTGCAGGGTCAATTTCTTCAAATTTGTGGTGCATGTGGTGTTTCTACTCCTATGTCTTACTTGTATGTTTAATCAACTTAGATTGGTGCATTTCTTGTAGGTTGATCGAGCACGGGAAGTATATAAGATGGTCCACAAATATAAGATAAAGGGCTCCTCCGAGGTTTACACCATAGCTGTTAACTGTTGCAGCCAGACAGGTGATTGGGAGTTTGCGTGCAATGTGTATAGTGATATGACTAGGAAAGGCGTGGTCCCTGATGAGGTGATTTTTTCAGAATTAGATATTTCCCATGACATGTTGACTTGCACAATCATTTTGGAGTTGGGATTGTGTTAGCGCTGTCTGAGTTTTACAAAATCTAGTCACCACTAAATTTAGTTGGTTTAGATAAGCTAGGGAATTAAAAGGGTTTACATAAGCTAGGGAATTAGAAGGGGAAAAACAGCTGGCTTATCTTTCAATATCGTTGATGTGATCTTCGCATTCAGTCATCATCACTAAAATTACTCCTCTCTGATACATCTCATGATTGCTTACATAAGCTTCTGGTGTTCATACAGATGTTTCTCAGTGCATTAATAGACGTTGCTGGGCATGCTGGAAAACTAGATGCTGCCTTTGAAATCCTACAAGAAGCTAGAAATCAAGGAATACAAGTTGGAACTGTATCATACAGCTCATTGATGGGAGCCTGTAGCAATGTATGTCTCACATAGGCAATTCTGCAATAGACATTTTTTTTCCTTCAAAAGAAAATTAGGCGTATTTTTTCATATAGGTTATTGGTCCAAGCATGCAAAATGAAGATGAATAGAAATTCAGAATCGTCCAATAAAAACCCAAATTAAGAAACCAGACAGGGTTTTTGTACTATTTTTTTAAATTAAAAAAAAAAATTATTCTTATAGATGTGTTGGTTTTCCTACCTTCTATCCCTCGACAGTTCCTGGAAGCTTTTATTTGTTCTTAAGAATGCTTCCTATTAGCCTTCTATCCCTCGACAGTTCCTGGAAGCTTTTATTTGTTCTTAAGAATGCTTCCTATTAGTTCTACATTTTTTTGTTATAAAAAAAATTGTTATTGTTTTTTCAATCCAAAGACGTAACATGGTGTTTGAAACACTACTTTTCCCTGATGCTGAAAATAGGGGCTTATAATTCTAAATGAGCTCCATATAAGCAAAGTAATTGTGTAGTCAGGTGATGGAGAGAAAAATCCTCTGATGAACTGCCCAACTTATTTCCCGTTAGTGTAAACTCTTTAATGCTGGTAAGAATGCTTAAATATTTAATAAATTGGGTATTCCTTGTTTCAGGCCAAAAACTGGCAGAAAGCACTGGAGCTCTATGAATATCTCAAATCCACTAAAATTGAGAAAACTGTTTCAACTGTCAATGCTTTGATCACTGCCCTGTGTAAGTCTCTAAATGTTACCTTATTTCCTTTTCAAAATAATGTCAGTTGGTATGATAACAATTCCTTTCTGTTTTATAATCCTAAAGTGTCACATTATCTGGGGCGTGTATGTAAAATATGTGTGTGTGTGTTAGCTAAACTTAATTGAGATGCCAATAATCACACTTCAGGTGATGGGGATCAACTACAGAAGGCTATGGAAGTTCTATCCGAAATGAAAGGATTTGGATTGCATCCCAACAGCATAACATACTCCATACTTCTAGTGGCAAGTGAAAAGTGAGTCTTCTAGAGTTGATGCAGTGTTAAAGACAATGTTGGCGTGTATTCTTGTCTGCAGTAAAACTCAAAACTTGCAACTGTTTAATTGTGCACCCTGTTTGCAGAAAGGATGATCTAGAAGCTGGCCACATGCTCCTTTCTCAAGCCGAAAAGGATGGGGTTGCTCCAAACCTTGTCATGTCTAGATGCATCATTGGTGAGTTTACAGTATATTTAGTTACAAAAATTTTTTTGTCAGTTTGGCTCTGATATCTGAATGAATATAGGTTCATTTTGTCTCACAATGATTTGCGAGATGATTCTCCATTGTAATAAGGAAATAACTTTAAAACAAGATGGCCTAACATGTAAATTTGATTGATAATAACCTTCAATACAGCTCTAGGGAAATGCTCTTCGAAACTTCTTTTCATTTGGTTCGTTGGATGTCTAGTCTAGCTAGATAATCAGAAGCTTGGCTTCCTACTATTCTGATGTTTCCACTAAAATTTACAACTTGAAAATCATAATCCAAATCATTACTAAGGTCAAAGATAGTTAGAGACATAAATACAATTAATTAAAACATACCAACATCGTTACAATAACAACTTTTCTTGTGTCCAATTATTTCTTTTTACATATGAGTTATACATAGCATGCTTTGATTCTGTGCTTTATTATTTGAGCTTCAAGGAAATTTGAATTGGACAGTTGACTTCAGTTGGCGTTTGGGGTTTTCAAACATATTCACATATTCATATTCTGAATTATTGCAGTGTGCTGTCTTTTATACATTTTTATTCTCCTTACATTTGATCTTTTTGAAGGCATGTGCTTGCGGAGATCTGAGAAGGCATGCTCACTTGGCGGATCTGTCTTGTCGCGTGATCGACCACAAGTTGATAGCAAATGGTATTTGATTCTTCAACTCTATGTGATGATCATTAGACATGTTTTGTTGTGGGGAACTAGGAAAGCAACATAATGTACTTGGAAAATGCTCTTCACTTATTTTGTACATGTGAATTTTTCTCAAAAAAAGTAGCAGCAAGAGTTATTTTATTGATCTTGAGACTGTACTTGTCTATAAAGTTATGCATTTGTAAAGAGTTTTCTGACCCCAATAAGTAAGCATGAAAAAGGGGAAAAAGAATTAAAACATTATCAATCTGTATCTTGAAAGGAAACTTTTTTGTTTGATTATTCTTTATTTATATATCTTTATGTTCGTCTGAAAAGCTTTACATGGTTTGATATGTTCCTGAATTAGTTTATTTTAAAAAGTCATGATTTCGATTTATAGGCTAAAAGCAGTCTTCTGAGCAGTTTTTGTCTATTGCATTGTTTCTATAGGGCATCACTTGCCTTAATGGTCTACCGCAAAACGATTGTAGCTGGTATTATGCCTACCATTGAAGTTATATCACAAGTTTTGGGATGCTTGCAGCTCCCTTACGATGCATCATTCAAGAATAGACTTATTGAGAATCTTGGTGTAACTGCCGACACATCAAGAGCTTCAAACCTATGTTCATTGATAGATGGGTTTGGTGAATATGACCCTCGCGCTTTTTCATTACTTGAGGTCAGTTGGAAGCTGAACTTTTCAGTGCTTTTCAATACAATTCCAATTATAAAACTAATTGGAAACAATCTTATAATGGCATATACTTGAAGGAAGCTGCATCTCTTGGAATTGTTCCATGTATATCCTTCAAAGCAAGTCCTGTTGTTGTTGATGCAAGGAAGTTGCAACTTCACACTGCTGGGGTAAGTTCTCGCATTGTCTTTGGATAGCTTGTCTTCCTTTATTTAGTAATATAAAATTATCTGTCTCAATGAGTAGGTCAACTTGATGAGCTTAACATTCATGAAACAGTATCTCTATCTCCTTCTTGATAGGAGCTGTAGCTGATCTATTCCTCCCTCCCCCACGCAAACAAAACAAGAGAATAATAAATTAGATAGTACGTGCTACTCACAAAAATTACTACTCATCAACTCCTGTGTGAAATTTGCCAGGTCTACATCTTGACTGTTCTAAAAAGTCTCAAACATCGGCTTGCTGCTGGTACTATAAACTACATCTCTTTCTGTTTATTCAGTTCTTTGAAAAGAAAAAGAAAAAAAAAAAAAAGTTCGGCTTTGAGTGAGTTTAGTGCAGAAAACTAATTGGACAAAATTGTAAACATTTATGGAAGATGTAGATTTAAAAAAAGTTAGCTCTCCGTTGTATAAAGCCTAAATCTTACTCCTTTGTTGTTGCATATCTTGCAGGTGCGAAGTTACCCAACATGACCATTTTACTGCCCGTAGAGAAGACACAAATTATGTCTCCGAAAGGGAAGACAATGAACATTGCAGGAAGGTGAAAATTGTTACTTAACAATTACAGTTAGAGATATGAATGATCAACTGTGGGAAAGGGTTCTGGGATGAAATATGTTTTAAAATCACTTCCACTTCATCAGAATTCGCCCCCAGAATTCATGGAATTTTATATTAGTGTATATTCTTTATTTCGTTGACGCAAATGTGGCATCTTTTGTTTAACAGGGTTGGCCAGTCAGTTGCAGCATTATTGAGAAGGCTTGGGATACCTTACCAAGGAAATGAATCACGTGGAAAAATAAAAATCAGTGGGTTGGCCATGAAAAGATGGCTTCAGCCAAAGCTTGCTTCTTTCACTGGAAAACCAGGAGAATTCGGCCCATCCCAGTTACAATTAGGGAAAGGAATCACACATCAGCAGCGCAACATTCGAACTGGCAATCTGTCCTTGGAGTAAGGGGACATAATATATGGATGCTGCCCAGTAGACAGTTTAGAAGCATCTAATCCAGTTTTCCTAACTTCGGCTGATGCTCTTTACACTTTTTATATCAGTGGTCTTACATGCCTATACCTACCCTGAGCCTAACTCACTACCCCATTCTCAAAAATTGCTTCGAATATGGGATACCAAAAGTTGAAAGTTTCTTCCATGCATAGAGTTTGTAGAAGAGTAACGAGAGTTCGTATAAAAGTAGCGACAGCCGGGGATTAATAGAGTGAAAAGAAGCTCCTTGGATTGCAAAGAGGAGAGATGCATGATTTTCAATTCTGAATGGTTTGCTACAGCAAACCCCACCCTTCCTGTCTCTTTGTAGGTATCTTGCAGTTGCAGCTGGGTGATGACCGTTTAATAGCATCATGGGAGTTGAAAAATGTATGATTATGTCTTATGACCACGTTAAATATAAAGTTTGATGGAAAAAATAAACCTCCATTTTCAGTATAGAGTTATGGTCTTTGTTTTCAATACCATCATGGGAGTTGAAATGTATGCTTATGACAATGTAAATTACCGCGTTGATATATAGCTGAGGTAAAACACCTTCATTTGCACTATCTCGAATTATTTGGTAATAAATTGATTAGGAAGACTAGTTGTTGAAGAATGTAAAATTTCAATATCGGAAACTTGGCAAAATAAAATACAAATATATAAATGAATAGTTTCAGACTTACAAAAACCGTTGAGGCCTTTTGTGATAACATTCCTCACTTACTAGACTAGAAGGTGGTTAAGTTGGGGATAGTATACACCTACTGGACTAGAAGATGGTTAAGTTGAAGAGAGTATCGGTTAGGTTGAGGACAGAGTGTTCGACTAAGTTTAGTCGAAGTTCATTATGTTGAAATTGGGTTCGATTTGAAATATAGTTTCTCCCCAGCAGACCTTTACAAAACCCATGGCTTTGCTAATAAAACTGAAGAAACTTTCTACTTATTGAAAACCTGTTGAAGCCGTCATCAAATTAATGAAAACCTGAGGCTGCTGCGTCATAAAACCAAAGCCAACCTTCATGCACTGAATAAAACGAAACCAAACCATGTGATGCAATTGTGGTAATGCAATATGTGAGCTCTTGAAAAATATGTTAGGAGAGCCAAGAACCTTCTTCAAAATTATGCTATAGAATTAAGGACCAGAGTCACCACATCACATCGCAATTTGACTTAAATTTCCCCACCTGCCCTACTCATTTACATGTACAAAATCTCAGATGGGTTTGGTTCCCCATCATTCCTAAGCCTACCAAAACAAAACCCAAAAAGAAAAAAAAGTTCAAAATTGTGGAAGATTGCTCTATGATCCAATCATCATCGTCTTTGTCTGGCACCCAACTGAGAAGTGAGGCTAACGAAGGTCTCTTCTTTGCATGGAATTGTAAGACCACCCATTGGATGGTTGAAGCCAAACTCTTCTTCTGCTCTCTTAAGCAACACTTTGAAAGAAGGGTGGTTCAAGTAAGAAACTGGAACCACATACCTCTTCTTTCCCATTTCTCCTACATAAACTGCAACATGCCCTTTTGGAACCTCATGAGATTTAGGCTGCAGCTTCAGAATGTGCTTCACTCCATGTACCATAGAAGAAGGCAAATGAATCATCATACCCATAAAATGATCACTAAAACTTTGCAAAATATAGTTGAATTGGAGAGAGAGAGAGAGAGAGAGAGAGGGTTTTTGCTGAATTTGCTTGATGTAAAAGCTAGGAATTGTTTGAAGCCCAAATTCATTTTGTACCTCTATTTATAGAAGTTCCCAAATATCTGTAGAGTTGGATAATGAGGTCGCAGTGAGGCTGTGTGGCAGGGCAGGCAGCAAAGGCTCACATGGGTTTCATCATCTTAGCTTATTAGCAACCGACTTAAATATCCAAATGCCCCACTTGTTCTTCTGAACAATATTTTATGCAAATGGCCCTGAAAAAAAAAAAAACCTCATGGCTGCCGCCAGTGCCAAAGAGCCACCATAGGCCCATATGTCACCAAACTACAATGCATATAAAAAACTAGAGGCCCTAGCTACACCAGAAACCATGGAAGCCACTCAATAACTTCCATGTGATTAGTTTTGTGAAGCATAGAATTGCAGCTTAAAATAATTAGACGAAAATGGATAGGTTTTTGACCGAAACCTACCCCACAGTGCTCTAACAAGGTCCCCATATATATATATATATAATCTTTATTATCCAATGCTCACAACTTCTCCGTACTTAACCATATATATCAAAATAAATACATAAAAGTTAACAAGTCTAGTCCAATGAAAAATGACATTAACGAGGTCTCAAGTTCGAATTTCATAACATCATAGTTGTGTGTGTCTGAGAAATCCCCCTTCCCTCTCCCTTCTAGTTTAGACTATCGCTTGTACTAAAAAAATATGAGTGTTGATTTTCCCACTCCCCTTTTATCCACTTACACTTTCTTAAAGAGGAATGGAAAAATCAACTCTAAAAAAACAATTATATATATAAATATCTAATCAATATTTTTCCTTTTGATGTATTTTCATTTTCTGACATATAAATGCAGTGCAGGCCAAGTTGTTTGAATTGAAGTACAATATTATCTAAGCCCACCCAAACCTTATCTAATCGGTTGATTGGGTGGCTATAATATTACTATTTCATTTGGCATTTTTCACATGCACAATGCTCTGCTCTCTCAACTGAAATGAAAATTAGACCATAACCCCCTCCTCCACATGCATATTGTCTCAGCTACTCCCGCTTGACATGTCTCCACACATTGGCTTCATGTGTGTAACAGTGTGTTTACAGTGTTTTTGTATTCAATCCATTTGATATTACCTCGATTGAGGAGCCTTTTTTTTCTGGCACAAGCTTGACGAATTTTTTGGGTAATATTATCACATGGTGTTATCAATTAAAGGTTAATATGTGATGTCTAGTTAACATGAATTTTGATTGATTAGTTTTTTCACGTAATCGTTACCCAGTGTTATCAGTTAGCGATTAACATGAACCTTCATTCAAAAGTTTTTTGTGCGTCACATGATGTTATTAATTTACTCATGTTATAACATATTTATATATATTAACGTATAGTATAAACTCACCGTCCCTACTTTATTTTATAACACGAAATGACAGTTGTGACAAACGAAAATTTCTCCAATCCAACGACTTGCCGGAAAAAATGGCCAATCATATGTGCCCACTTAAAACATCAATAAATGTTCGAGATACTGAATTTTAATTCCAGTCTTGGTATATTTGATGACAAAGAAGGTTACATGCATTCTTATTTTGTCTGCCAAAATTGCCTCTATATACATGGAATTTGCCATGAAAGAAGTTTAACACTAAGTCTCAGTGGCAGCCTTGAATACTTGACACTGATTTATAAAACTCAGAAGAATACAAAATTGGGTTGGAATTTGAACTTGGTTAATTAGCTCTCTACCTGCTAATTTATTCGAGAAGTGAGACTAGTAAACTCCTCTTCTGAGCATGGAAGTCTAATGCCACCCAATTGATCAAAACCAAACTCGTCAGCTGCCTTGTAGAGCAAGTCTTGGAACAAAGGGTGCTTCAAATATGATATGGGCACGACATGCCGTTTCTCATGATTCTTTTCTTCTGCATCATCCCCTACATAGATTGCAAAATGGCCTCTGGGAACATCAACAGTACAAGGAGTTCTTGTGGACCTCAAATGATGCTTGGCATGAAAAACCATCTCTTTCAGACGAAAGCCCATGTTTGCCTTCTGCTCTAACCACAAAGACACAAGGAGAAATAAGTAATTTTAGGGTTATGGCTATGGATGCTATAGCTTGCTTGCTTAATGGGTTCTCCAAGCATTTTGCCTTTTTAAAGGTATATATAGGAACACGTTTTGGCTGGCTAGTTTGTATGGTGATGGGTCGGTTTTCAGGCATGTCTTTGTTGCAGGTTTGCTTTTGTAGGCTTGCGGGACAGTTTGGAATTTCATCATTATTGGTTTTTTTATTATTATTATAAATATAAATAAAATAAAATAAAATAAAAACTTGGGATTTGGAATTTCATCATTATTGGTTTTTCATTTGTTCATATTTCACTTTATTCTAAATTTATTTTATTTTTTCACTAACAAATAAAATATTATGCTACCTCTCTCATTTTTTCAGTCTATTCTAAATTTAGTAGGGTTGGTTCAGTTTCAAACTTGGTCAAGTTGGGTTTCTGTTGCTCACTCCAATCTGATGAGTGTACCTATTTCTCTTCCATATAGCACATGGCCTTACCTCAAACCAACGAAAATTAAAAAGTTGATGATGTAAGAGTCAACAATAATGCATGTGGGAGTGATACTGAGAGATTGTGAGTGTGAAATTAGTAGCCAAACCAATAAATGCTAATAGAAGAAGAAGATGATGATGAGTGAGTCAGTTATGGAGTCCACATGACTCTGAATTAGAAATTATTCATTGCGCAAATAAGTTGTGCTACCGTCAGTTGTTGATATGCAGGTCGTTTCTGATCACTAATATATGTGAGCTATGCATCTCATTAATAGTCAGAAATAGTCCTTGTATCTCGCCGACTCATCTTAACAAAATCCTTCTCACGTGTACCATAAATGGCTGATTTGATTTTTTCGCCCACCATTTTCCGCGTAGAAACTGCTGGTAAGTACTGCAAGTGTATGCCTCGTTTCTTTCTATAATGTTTTTTGAGAAGTTGTGGGCACATGAAATCATTGTCATGATAACATGGCAGGAGCCGCCGCTACGTACCATTTGCTGCTGCAGATTCATCTCTGCCTCTGAGCAAACCACTACTACTGGACACAGAGGAACAGTTTTAAATAATACACGGGTGTCAGACCAGAAAAATAAAATTTGGCTCTCTTCTTCAAGATGAAGTAGCCCCTAGATATGGCCACAAAGGAATATTGGGATCTTCTATTTAATGAGGATTTGAGTTAATTGCTCAGTCTTTCACTTCATATCAAATTATCAACCTCATCATTAAGCCTCCATACCATCATCAGTTTGCACATCACAGTACAGATTTTTTAATCTTTAATTATGTGAACTAGAACTTGGGAGCACCTCTTCACCAAATGACGAGAAATACCACTAAACCAATACCTAGTTAGTCGCGTTGCAATATACAGTTGAATCCGCTACAATTTGATACTTACCAAACAAGCCTTTAATCTCTCTTGCATTTTGTCTCAACTGTACGGCCTTAAATGCTAATTACCTCTTTCCTAATCAGAGTTATAATCGTGAGTGTACCCATTAATACCAAATG